AATATGTGGGGTGAATGATTTTTTCTTTGATTTTATTTTTTTATATTCTAGTGCTTAGGTAATACTACTTTGTTACTCTGATAATTGACCATTGCATTTGAAGTTGTTGAGATCAGAAGTTCTTGTGTTCCTGTCCTTTACCAGGTTGGTGGCAATTGCATTACAATTTTTGGCAACTTTTGAAAACTACATTTTATTGGAATTTAAAAATTCTCCGTCAATATTGCTACTATTACTGTCAATAGTGTGCTCTACCTATAATAAATTAATAATAAATTATGTATATGTAATAACATGCATTTAACATCTGGTATTTTATTGAGATTTGAGTTATTATCTATGAAATTTTTGTTCTGGTATTTCTAAATGATTTCATTCTCCTACACACCTATCCTTCCAATACATCAATACTCAGCATTTGGTATGTATATTTTAATATCAATATTTCATGTCAATATGAATTTATTATTCAGAATGGTTTTCTTAAAAATGTAACTAAATATATCTAAATCCCATCTTAGTGTCTACCACACAATGCCAATTTTAACAGAAATGTATGAGTTTGCAGGGGTATGTACCTTCAAGTCTCTCTGTGAAATACATACATCAACCTCAAAGCCTTCTCTTTTGCACAGCAGACCCTGAGGGAAAGATGTGATTAGTTTCACAATTCCCTATTATCATCTTTTAAAACTTTTTATACCTTTATCAATATCTCAGAATTGAGAGTTTCCAGAAACTGTGTGAGTAGGAGAGTGTTTAAACTCCAACAACCAACTCAAAACAATTTTACTGTTAATCACCTGCAGTTTTGTTCCCATGAAAATCAGTCACTATCAAAAATTATTCTATTATACTTAAGACACAGTTTCAAAATATCATGACAATCTTTCTTTTAACAATCCAGGTCTTGTTGGAATGTATCCCTGGGGAGATCTCTAGGTTTTTCCGTGAAACAGTAATGAGGTTCAGAAGGATTTGTCCAAACACATCACATAAGTGGAACAGAGTGAGTAATAGACTCCACAGAAAGAGCTGTGATATACCAGATACCTGTGGCTCACACCTGTAATTGGAACCAAGTGGGAGGCAAGATCAGGAGGATCCCAGTTTAAAGCTAGTCCAGGGAAATTACCCAACACAAGAAAAGGCTGGCAGAGTGGCTTAAGTGGTAGAGCACCTGCCTAGAAATCCTGCGACCCTGAGTTCAAACTCCTGTACCACAGTAAGAACCTTCATAAATGCCACAATGTATCCCTGCCCAGCACAACAAAAATTTTAAAAGTAAATCAATAAATTTTAGTTTTACATTATGTATTCATCCTACATGGACAGTATACATTATCTGTTGAGTCCTTCTTCACTGTAGTTGCCCAAACTAGCAATAAACAAGTTAAGACACAGAGATACTAAAAATATCCTCTATGTTAAAAAGAAATAATAAGTGAAACTGTCATGATTCTAAATAAAATGATATGAAATTCTGACTTCAGCTCACATTTTGGTATTTCGTAGGATGCTTATGAATTGTAGGAGGATATAGAGTAGAGCAGAGAATAGGAAGATTCATGCTGATTATTGTGTATCTCCTTGTTCTGGTTCATTTGCTTATGAGCTGCAGTTATCCTTCCCATACATGATGGAGGTGATAACAAGCACAGGTCTATCTTTATAATTCACTGGAATCCCTAAATTCAGAGCACAGTCAGCAAATGCTAGTTGAGTTGTCAAAACAGAAGACTTCCAAGATTTTCCTGGTGAAAAGCCCTATGTAGTCATAAAGACAATGCAAACAAGATTTCTCTCTTGTTTTACCAAAAATCTGGTAGGATGAGTGCAGTGTCTCATGCCAATAACCGAGATACTCAGGAGGCAGTGAATGGAAGATTTTTGGGGAACCCCATAATAATTAAAGTCACAAAGTGTACAGAATTCATATTTGAAAATTTGCAGATTTCATTTTGCTCCAAGAATTTCATGTTCATCCCCATGACAGAAAACAGTGTTTCTGATAGACATTTGACAACCCCTCATCTCCATTAAAATTGAATGAGTCTTGTGGATTGTCTTGCAGGTCATGGCCAAAACATGTGGTTCCAATACCTTTTCATGACTAGTGCCCAATGAAGACTCAACATCTGTCCTAAGAATTCATATGAATACAGGGTCAGATAGGAGCTTCCTGTGATACACAAAACTAAGTTAGGGAGGAGACAAATACATGGAGTCCTATGAATTATACCTACAATATTGGAGTCCTGGGATGAATATTTAGTACCTTAGGAACTTGTAGGCTCAATACACAGAAATTGCATTAAGCCAAATTTCTTGAATTTATCAAATCTCAAAGGCATTATGCTTGTTAATGGAGGAAGAAGTAAAATGGAAAATAAAATCAAGAACAGGTCTTTGGCTTTTCTCTTTAGGGGAAACCTTGCGAATAGTATTCAATTATTATGTGGCTTTTTAAATATCCATATCCAGTTCCCTTATATAACATAGTTTGATTATATGATAATTATAAGTAGTAATTATACACAATTATACATATAATTGCAATAATTATAAATATAGTAGTATATATTGAGCAATTATATATGCATAAATATAGTCTGCTTAAATGCATGGCTTAGCATTAATTATATTTACATTGTAATGCAATGATCAAAATCATAAATATCCAGAATTATTTTTTTATATCCACAAACTGAAACGTTGTCTCAGAAGAATTATAAATACAGAGGATTTTGGAGATATTTTAACTGTGTAATTTAAGAACAATATTCTCAAGGATTTACTCAGAAGGTTATGTGTAATAATTTCCAAGCAATTCTGTGGGCAGCCTAGGATTTTCTGACTCCTATAAAATTCCTTTTATTAAAGAGTTTATTCACATGTAGTATTCAGTCTGATTGGAGCAGTTTCTTTCTTCCTTATGTCAATATATCTATATTATTGTCCCCAATTTGCATCTCAATAAGTAGATTGAATTCTGCTTCCTCTGAAGTAGAATCCTGAGAAAAACCAGCAGTGCTAGAGGTGTCACAATGTGTGTATTGAAATTATTGACAAAGACCAACTGGTACTGGCACACAAACAGGCACATAGACTTAATCACAGAATGAACCTAGGTTTCCATGAACAGATGAAAGTAGTCAGAAAACATTATATGCATAAATACATATAGATGATATAGGCATACATATATATGCATGTACAAAGTTTTCTTTATATATATTATATATCCTTCATATATAATGTTTTCTTTATCACTTTACACATATACATACACACACATATATGCTATCTATCTATCTATCTATCTATATACTATTCAGCCATAAAATAAGGGAAACTTTGTTATTTGCAAGAATATGCAGAACTGCTAGTAATTCAGTAATATAAAGTAGGCCAGTTTCATAAACACAAGTATCACTCATTTTCTATTAGATGCAATATGTAGATTAAAAGCATAGACATGAAAGTACAAGGAGATTAATTTGTGAGTAAGTGGTGACCAGATGGAGAAGGGAAATTGATGACACTGGAGACAATATTTATATTCATAGTATGTAAATATGAAAATTTCATCATGAAGCCCATTATTTTGTACAATCATAAAGGAGAAAGAAATTTTGAAAAAAAATTAAATTTAAATTATACTGTAATGCACTCAAAATAAATTATAATGCTATTAAATTGTGCATCACAGATTTCAAAAAAGCTGCCCAAAAATAGACACCAGAACTAAGTAGACAATGAGATGAATGTTCTTGCTCTCTAAGTAATACAGAACGTGACAGCTCTTCACAAACTGGTCATCAGCCATCACAGTCAGAAACGTATTATCCCTACATTGTTTTTAAAAAAGCAGACATCTGTATCAGGCAGCTCACAAAGGAGATGACTGCGGTGAGTTTGGATGTTTGTTAGATATCCTATCATTTGATTTCCAAATGTCTGGACATATATAGAGCTTTGTGTTAGGTAGGAAGTTAGTGCTTAAAAATTATGTACCTTGACTTTGCCATGTAGCTGTCAAATGTGGAATTGGATGTGAACTTGAAAATCTCATTCTCAATTCTGGATGATGCTCAACTAAGTTGCAGAGCAATGACCATTTCTGTGGAGAATTTAGTGGTTCGCACTGACAAAGAAAGGGAGGGAATAATGGTCGTAGTCAGGAACTCAAATAAGGAGAGCAGGAACATTTTTTGAGCATGTGTGTTGAAGCCATCATGTCATATCCTTTTGTGTATTAACTTAATGCTTACAACAACCCTCTGCAATCACTAACTCAATTTGAGATATGCGAGATCTCAATTTGAAGAGGTTACTCATTGTTTTCTAATATAATACAGCTTGATTTGAAGCTGGACTTTGTTTCATGTTGGCTGTCCTTCAGAATTTATGCATTTATCAACGATTAATCTACTTCAGAGGAAGTAAATTTTGATGTAGTTATTAAGGTACAAAGAGGGGACAATAATATAGACATACTGATATGAGGAAGAAAGAAAGTGCACCAATCAGACTGAATAGTACATGTGGATGAGGTCTTCATAAATTAAACTTTTGGGGAGGTAGGAACAGCCCCAAAAGCATGCTAAATTATTACAATACATATTCTTCAAAGTAAATCCTTGAGAGCAGAATAACATTGTTTTGTAATAGAAATACAATTACAGAAGTGTTATTATTTTCAACAATATATACATAAATTTCCAGTACAAAAATGGATAATTTACATTGATGTAATCTTTAAAAAGAGATGTAATATTACCCTCCTAAACCAGGTTCTTTGGTCAAGAATTACAGAAACTGCCTTGTTATATTACTATAGTCATACTGGTTATGATGAAAGATTCAAAAATATTCTCAGAATTCAAGGCAAATCACATTAAGCAATATTTAAATATGGAGTAGAATGTAAGTCATGAAGTAACAAAAACTATAACAAGACAGGATTTCAAGTCTAGAAACTGGGTTTCCAAAATGAATTACATAAAGTACAGAATGTGTAAAGAGTAGTTTCCTTTGCTCTGCAGCTTACACAGGGCAGTTTTAATCTCTCTGTTCCTTAGGCTGTAGATGAATGGGTTCAGCACGGGGACAACCACAGCATACATCACTGAGGTCACTGCACTGTTTCTAGGGGTGTATGATACATCTGATCCAAGGTACACTTCTATGGCTGCTCCATAAAATAAGCAAACCACTAACAAATGAGACCCACAGGTGGAAAAGGCTTTATACTTCCATTCTGATGATGGAATTCTCAAAATTGAGGAAAACATTTTATAGTAAGACAAGAAGATCCCCAATAGAAGAAGAAAATCAGAAATAGCTCCAACCAAATTCAAGACTAAATTTTTGGTAAAGGTATCATAACAACCAAGATTTAGTAGTTGAGAAGGCTCACAGAAGAAATAAAAAATTTCCATATCCTTGAAGTGGGTAAAATATAAGGCAATCAAGTTGTGTACTTGGGATTCACAAAGACTAAATAAAAAACACAAAAAGAGCAACAAAATACAAAATATGAGGGTTCATAATGACTGAGTAATCCAATGGATGACAGATGGCCTCAAACCAGTCATAGGCCATCACGGTCAGAAGCATATCATCCGTAATTCCAAAAATTATACAAAGAGCCATTTGAGTGATGCAGTCCACAAATGAGATAATTTTATTCTGAGCCTGAATGTCCACAATCATCTTTGGGACTGTAGTAGATAGTAAAAGATGTCAGTCAAGGCCAGGTTGGAGAGGAAGTACATGGGGGTGTGGAGATGACAGTCAAACCCAGTTGCCACAATGATGATCAGGTTTCCAAGCACAGTGATCAGGTACATGGACAGGAACAGTCCAAAGAGGATGGGTTGCAGTTCTGGATTCTCTGAGAGTCCCATCAGATGGAATTCTGGGATAATTGTTAGATTAGGTTCTTCTGTGTTACTTGGACACCTTTTCAAAACAAAGAGGATTGGGAATGGAAAGCATATACAGAGAAAGCAAATACTCAAACAATGGTAGAAATACATTTAAGTTAAGATATTTAAGACACTGCATGTGAGCTATGTCTGTATTATCTGAAAACTATAGCTGACACTATTGTCAGAAAACAGTACATGCCATTTAATATAAGCCTTGTATCTTTAGTTTATATGGACTTCAAATTTTGATAAATATGTTAAGGTGAGATGCTCATAACCAATGTCACTGTGAACCACAAATGTGATTTTAGCATACACTCTACTTCAAATTGGTTAAAAAGTTTGAAACTGCAAAATAAACACATGTGAGTATTTTTTTTATTTTATAGAAACTTATTTGTATCTACTCCAGGCAATTTCAGTAAAATATCTACCAATAGAATCATTTCTTCACTTTTTTCTTCAGTATATTGATTGTAGATTTGGAAGAATGCTTAATTTTTTTTATGATTATAAACCTTCTTATGTATCTTTAATGACTATAATTTGATACCAGGTAAACTTGCAAAGTACATATTTCTGTTCCATAATTCTTGAACTGTTTAATACATTTTGTGTCTATATGATTCCAATTCTCTTACCTCACCTACTTGAAGGTGTTTGAGGTTTATTAATTAGTCAACTCATACTATGATTTGGGATAAATACAAAAGAGAAATCCATTTGTATTAGAGGAATCCATGTAAACACAATAGAGCAGTTTCATCATTTCTAAAATGGAGGTAAAGATTACCTAGCTCACAGAGTGATTGTAAAAAGGCTTCAAATATTTAATTGCATAGTATTAGGGTTCTCAGACTGTTTTATAAATATATTATTCTGTGATTATTTTAAAATAACAAGATTTTGTAGCATTGGACCACATCCACTTCTGAGTATTGGTATACTAATGATTTTGTGGTTATATCCTATCAAGGATAAATAATCATAGCCTTATAATATTTCAGCATATTTAGACAGTACCCAATCAATATTATTATGTGTGCATACAGTCAGTAATACCTATGCCTGTATTTTTATTTAAAAAAATTGTATTCTTCATTTATTCACATGTGCATACATTGTTTGGGCCATTTCTACTCCCTGCCTCCCACTCCCACCTTCTCCTCCCCTCCCCCCTCACTTCCAGGCAGAACCTGTTCTGCCCTTATCTCTAATTTTGTTGAAGAGAAGACATAAGTATAATAAGGAAGACAAAACATTTTTCCTAGTTGAGTTAAGGATAGCTATACAGAAAGATTCCTAGCATTGCTTTCATGTACAAAAGTGTTACAACCCAAGTTGATTCATCTCTAACTGATCTTTACAATGGTTCCTGATCCCCTTCTCATGTTAACCTCTGTCGCTTTAAGCTTTCTTTATTAATTCCTCTAGAGTCGGACATCAAACGCTTTCATATTTTAGGTTTTCTACCTATTCCCATATCTCCCATATGTGCTCTCCCCTTGTCATGTGACCCAAGTCCAACCACATTGCTGTATTTGCCCTAGATCTAAAGTTGACATATGAATGAGAACATACTATTTTTGGTCTTCTGAGCCTGGCTGACCTCTCTCAGAGTGATGTTCTCCAGTTTCATCCATTTACCTGCAAATGATAAGATTTCCTTCTTCTTCATGGCTGAATAAATTCCATTGTGTATAAATACCACATTTTCTTGGATCCATTCATCAGTAGTGGGGCATCTTGGTTGTTCCTATAACTTGGCTATTGTGAATAGTGCTGCAATAAACATGGGTGTGCAGGTGCCTCTGGAGTAACCTGTGTTTCATTCCTTTGGGTATAACCCCAGGAGTGGGATTGCTGGATCATACACTACCCATATTTTTAAATAAATATTTTTAAATGGATGAGTAAAAACTTATACTTTGGACACATTTAAACTGTCATTTTTAAAACATGAGTTGTTGTTATTGCTGCATGATTCCATTCTCCCACATAATTGTTCTCAATCCGGCCCTCCTCCAAAGAAACTTGTTGTTATGAATGAAATGGGTATATTTGTACATCAATATGTACAAGCTTGCACTAATCCATGTAGCCATATGGTGTTTTCTTTAAGGATTATCTAAAATGTATGCAAAAACCATCTAAGTAGTCTACAACTAAAGATCTAATTCTTCAGAAATGTATAACTTAACATTATCATTAACATTGGTTTATGTTTTCTCTGTGAAGTATATACATCAATTTCAAATGCTTTAAGTGATAAAAAAGCATTATTTGAAGGAAGATCATCATTTAAATAGACAATTTACTGTTTCAGCAAATTTTCAATATCCTTTCATCTCCTTCCATATCACACACATATAAATTTTCACCTAATCTATGGGTGTGAGAGTTATTTGAATTCCATCAATTCATGTATTTTTTACTATAGTTCAGATACACTTGATGCGTCAATTAGAAAATCAGTTATAATAAACCAAAACTATTACTGTTATTGTATCTTGTCAAAACATTGTTTACCATTTGTACATGAAACCAATGCTATGAGTCTTTCTGTATAGCTATTCTTAACTCAACTAGCAAAAACACTTTATCTTCCTCATTATGCTTATGTCTTTTCTTCAACAAAATTAGAGATAAGGACAGAACAGATTCTGCCTGGAAGTGAGTGGAGAAAGGGGGCAGGGTGGGGAAGAAATGACCCAAACAATGTGCACACATGTGAATAAATGAATAATTAAAAAATTGTTTATATGTATCTAATAACAAACTTTGTATGACTATTGATCATGAAATTTCAAATTAAATAGCAAATATTTCCATATGTCTCTGATAAAGGAGAGAGAGTCCAAGTAGAGAGTTAGGAAGACAACATATTGTAAAATGTGTATAAATTTTTCAACTGGCAGGTTCTCATACGGCTTAATGGGAACAAGGAAAATAATGCTAATTTTTCACAATATGGTGGCACAAAAGGTTCTTTTGAAACCTAATATCTGATAAAGATTTCCATTTTCATGAAAACAGTGAGTTTATGGCTGAAACTGATTGCTAAAAGCAAGCAAAGTCTAGTTTGATGGGATTCAAAACTGAATCAGCTCAAACATAAAGTCTCTTTGCCTATTTCTCTTTCTGCATCTTCTGTGGTTTTTATACTCATGAATATATCTTGTATGATTTTGAACTATCAAAAAATACATTTTGTCAAATGAAATTTTAGGGGCCAGACACAGACAAGACCTATCATTTCTTGTCTTTATTCTGCTGTACCTCACTGAAAATTGTGAAAGTACAGACAGAAAAGCACCAAGTGTATCATCACTCTTATCACACCCAACTTGTGTGGACCAAGGAAGTACCTTTTTAGTGTTTATCAGAGGATTCTATATTTGATGTCCTCTGTGTGCTAAGCAAGATAAAGGATCTGGGAATCAAAATGAAAGAGAGGTAGGTATTCATTTTCAACTATAGAACAGATATTTATATAAGGACAAATGTAAGATGACTCACTGGAGAAAATATTTAAGCAATGACTTCAAGAGCTAGGATATTATAATTGAATGGCAAGAATATTAACATCATAATTATTAATTGTATATATAATTTCATGCTTATTTTACATATTCACACATAAGAATCACATAGTGAGCACCCATGTCTGTTCAATCCTTCCTCAGTTCAGTGTTCCAACTTGAAATCACATCTGACATCAATTCTAAGACTTAGAAATACAAACTGTCTGCTCTGTGCAATTAGAACAAATGGAACCAATAGAATCAAAATTTTGTTGTCAGCCTTCAGGCATTATTTACTAAAACTTTGATAGTTGTGTTTCAACTGTCAGAAAGGATTTTTTAAAATTTTTTTCACTACTGGTCATTTAACTGAGGGACTAATCATCTTTAGTATGCAAGGGCTCTACCTTCCTTTCTTTTTGCAGTACTAGAGTTTGAACTCAGGGCCTACACATTGAGCCACTCACCAGTCCATTTTTATATGATGGGTTTTTTTCAAGATAGTGTCACATGAACTGTTTGCCTGGGCTGGCTTTGAACCATGATCCTACTGGTCTCTGCATTTTGAGTAGCTAGGATTATAGGCATGAGTGACTGGCACCGGCAAGACTCTACCTCCTGAGTTAATTCCTCAACCCCATTTTTTGTTTTGTTTTGTGCTTGAGGCAGAGTCTCACAAAGCTCTGCTTGGGCAGGATTCAAGCTTGGGATCCTCCTTCCTCCCCCAAGTACATCACTGTGCCTGGCTATCAGAAATTTTAAAGCAGGTAACTGCCACCTTAAACACAATTATATATGCAGTGCATTTTAAAACTCAAATTTTCTGAGAAAAGCAGAAGTATTATAAGCATGAAGAAGAAAGTGTTCAGTTATATAGGGAAGGGGAAGAAATCTGTACTCAATTATCACATGCATATTCCTTCTGATATTGTGTCCTTTCATAGATATCCATCATTTCTATGCTTGGTTTAGCAGGCTCCACCCAGGTTTTTTCTCTCTTATCTCCATGAGGTCACAACTGTGATACTTCAGGAGACTCTTCTTGACGTGACAAAAAAGTGAAATGTCTCATTGAGTTGTTTAAGGGATTATTTGCCTGGATATAGCCCATGTCTATATTCAAAATCACCAATTCCAAAATCTCAACACTTTTTATAACTAACAACCTGAAAATGGGTGTGGGAAAATATTATCATATCCTTTATTTTCTTCAAAATAAACTGGGTAACTATGACTTGTGTAATGCTATGCAGATGAAATGAAACAAGCCATAGAGAACACATTGCTCAGTTCAGGACTAATGAAGCCCTCAAATATAAGGCACGGTGTTACTGTCAGCCTTCAACATCATTTTATTTCAAGTCATTTTGGAGAGCTTAAGAAACAGTTGATAGGGACAAATTTTAAAATTTGTGAATAAGATGACAGTCAAATATAACAAGTGGAGGAGGAAAGCAAAACTTTCTATTCTCTGGAACCTTTAATATAATACACAATATAAGCTTCACATTCATCACAACTGAAATATTCCATGGACGTATTCTCTTATCTGGCTTCTGTAACTGTCATGTTAGTTATGGTAATGAGGAAATGTTTCCAATGGGCCCTCCACCATCCAAGTCACTCCCAGCACTTACTGGTTTAGGCTGGTCCTCTGCTGATTCATGAGGAAAGAATGCAGATCCAGTATAATTCCCTTGCCTTATGCCTGGTGAAGCCTGGATCTTTCCTCAGGCTTGATGGGAGCAGAGTGTCTGATATGAACTTCCTGATGCAACAACCATAAGAAGAGGAGACTCTGGTATGGAGACACATTGGGATGAGTCAAACTGATGAATTAGGGTCACTGGCTGATTATTATATGACCTTAGGGCTCAATACAATACCCTGTGCTCACAATTAGCAAAATCTGACCATGTTATTACAATCTCTAAGGAATTCCTGAAATTAATGGAGAAGTCAAAATAGTACATTATTGGCCACCAAAGTTTTGTTGCTGTTCCTCTATTCAAGATGAAGCTCTCATTCTATTCACTGGATCTGTATTTTAGTTTCTTCTCTTAAACATCTGTCTTTGTTTTATTTCCATTGCTTATTGCAAAAATACTAACTGCGTTCATTCTGTTGTGCAATTATCACAAACCTCTATTTCAAGAAATTTCAAATTCTTAACTTAAATGGTGTCTCATTTAAAAACCTTCACATTGGGGGGATTCCAAGATGGTGACTAGAGGTAGGAAGCAGAAAGCGAGCCTCCTATAGTGAAATCTTGGAGAGACGCTGGAGACACACTTTGCAGGCATAATCACTGAGAAAAGGCATAACTTTGACCCCTCCACATCTCCA